GTCTGTTTTCATTCCTACATTCACCTGGTCTTAACATAGTATATTGTGTTAATATGTTTGTTGTCTGTTTTCATTCCTACATTCACCTGGTCTTAACATAGTATATTGTGTTAATATGTTTGTTGTCTGTTTTCATTCCTACATTCACCTGGTGGTAACATAGTATATTGTGTTAATATGTTTGTTGTCTGTTTTCATTCCTACATTCACCTGATGGTGACATAGTATATTGTGTTAATATGTTTGTTAGCTGTTTATTTTGATTCTGTAACTTACTCTAAAATTAATAACTAGATAATTTTATGTATTTTGAAAGGTAAAAATTCCTTTCTTATATTTTAAAGTACTTCAGCCATGTGTTTAGACAGTTCATATTGTTAAATCTTGGTTTTCTAGTAATTAATAAGACCTGAATATGAAGAAGCTAATGTTTCAGTTACAATTGGTTATATGCTCATTGAGTCTAGTAAGTTTCATGGACTGATAATTTGGTTATATGATCATTGAGTCAATAGTGAGTTTCATGGACTGATAATTTTGGTTACATGGTCATTGAGTCAGTAGTGAGTTTCATGGACTAATAATTTTTGTTACATGATCATTGAGTCAATAGTGAGTTGCATGGGCTGATAATTTTGGTTACATGATCACTGAGTCAATAGTGAATATCACCAATGGACACTCTTGGGTTATATGATCATTCAGTCAATAGTGAATATCATGAACTGGCAATCTCTTGTTATATGATCATTCAATCAGTAGTGAATAACATGAAATGACAGTCTTGGGCAATATGTAATATGTCCTTGCTTAACAAAAACAGTACTTTATCACTTGCAATCTAATGTATCCTCACTGAAAAATGACAGGACTTTGTTATGTACAATCTAATGTATCCTTACTGAACAATGACAGGACTTTGTTATGTACAGTCTAATATATCCTTACTGAACAATGACAGGACTTTGTTATGTAAAATCTAATATATCCTTACTGAACAATGACAGGACTTTATGATGTACAGTCTAATATATCCTTACTGAACAATGACAGGACTTTGTTATGTACAGTTTAATGTATCCTTACTGAACAATGACAGGACTTTGTTATGTACAGTTTAATGTATCCTTACTGAACAATGACAGGACTTTGTTATGTACAATCTAATGTATCCTTCACTGAACAATGACAGGACATTGTTATGTACAGTCTAATGTATCCTTACTGAACAATGACAGGACTTTGTTATGTGCAATCTAATGTATCCTTACTGAACAATGACAGGACTTTGTTATGTACAATCTAATGTATCCTTACTGAACAATGACAGGACATTGTGATGTACAATCTAATATATCCTCACTGAACAATGATAGGACATTGTGATGTACAATCTAATGTATCCTAACTTAAAAATGACAGGACTTTGTTATGTACAGTCTAATATATCCTCACTGAACAATGACAGGACTTTGTTATGTACAGTCTAATATATCTTCACTGAACAATGACAGGACATTGTG